GCCGAGACAAACGCCCTGCCAAAAGGCAGTGCATCCGAGGTAGCTAAGTTCTTCGTCGAAAATATCGTCCTACGTCACGGCGCCCCGGAGGTCCTTATCACCGACAGAGGAACGGCATTCACTGCCGACTTAACTCAAGCGATCTTGGCATACAGCCAAACAAACCACCGCTGGACGACAGCGTACCACCCACAGACCGACGGCCTCACCGAGCGGCTTAACAAGACGATCGCCGACATGCTGTGTATGTACGTCGATGTCGAACACAAGACGTGGGACGCCATTCTTCCGTATGTGACCTTCGCATACAAGACGGCGGTGCAGGAGACGACGCAGATATCTCCATACAAATTGGTCTACGGAAGGAGCCCCGCAACGACGCTCGATGCCATGTTACCCAACGTCACCGACGAAGAAAACCTCGATGTGAGCGAGTACCTTCAGCGCGCCGAAGAAGCCCGACAACTTGCGCGTCTCCGTATCAAGAATCAACAGACGACCGACAGCCACCGTTACAACCTTCGACGACGCTTCGTGGAATACCAGCCCGGTGAACGTGTTTGGGTGTGGACGCCGATACGCCGACGTGGACTAAGTAAAAAGCTTCTGCGACGGTACTTCGGACCGTACAAGGTGGTTCGACGTCTCGGCCCACTTGATTACGAGGTTGTCCCCGACGGCATCACGAACTCTCAACGACGCCGATCGCGACCTGAAGTCGTCCATGTCGCGCGCCTCAAGCCGTTTCATGCACGTTAACAAACCGAAACAGTGTTTTTTTATTATTGTTGTATTGTAATTCATTCATTGTACTTTCTTGCATTATTATTGTACCTTCATCTTTAGTTAAAGCATCGGAACGATGCCTTTTTTCAGAGGGGGGCAATGCCACGTTCCATTCCACAAGTTTTTGTTATCGTTCCGAAACACCACACGATTCTCGGCGCAAATCACGCCTGCAGGTCTCGAGAAGGTTCCGGACTGTAGTAGATCATTTTTATAAGATCACGCCCACTGTGCGAACGGTACAGATTGTTCTGGAACCTACGCCACCGCCAGTGATAACGCTAGAACATTCGACAGCAAGGGTATAAATTCCGACGCGCTTCGCCGCTTGTCAGTTGTTGATCGAATGCCGACGCTGCGTTCGCCGCTATCAGTCCGAGACTGCTATCTGTGCAAGACTGCTGCTGTAATTAGACTTTCCCTTTACCGGGCACAGGTTCGCCCAAATAAACAGTTAAATCCCAACACGAAGTTTCCTGTCTTTGGCCACGTCACGACCCCGTGACAATATTGTGGTTTCGGTACGTTAGGGCCCAGATATTATTATTGAAGAGATGTTCTGTATCTACGAGATGCACTTCTCAAAGCAAGACCATGAGAGCACTGGCTTGCACTGACGATACTCCAACATGTCGGTGTGCACCCATAATGGGACACCAAATTTGTTGTCAAGTTAATGCTATTCAGCGTCGAGTTACGATGATGTTACGATGATTTTGTCATCATAGGTCGGCAAAAAAAGTTGAGCTCACTTATGATATCTTAACAATAGAATATCTTGCACTTAGCGCTTACTCGGACTCACCAGAATTTTTCTCAAACTCAAACTCAGACTCAGCAAAATTTTCGTCAACCTCACTCAATCTGATGCAAGCTCACCAAAATATTGGCAAACTCGTTCAGCAGATTTAGGTGCAGGTTAAAAAACCCAGGTGGTCGAAATTTCCGGAGTCCTGCACAACAGCGTCTCTCATAATCATATGATGGTTTCGGGACGTTAAACCTCACATTACAATACAGCAAACTCGTCCAAACTCTGACAACAGCTCACTCTGAATTTGAGTCGTCACGAATCGTACAAACAACTTGCGCCGGAGACAAGACAAATGCTGCACTACGCGATAGAAAAAGAACATATCATTGGGTTCCAGTGAATACCAAGGCAATCCCGGCAACGACCACGCCAATGAAGCTGCCAGAAAACGACATGTAAGCACGAACTTTGTTTATATACATTTATCTACTATTGACGCGACACTCTAGAAGTTGCAGTAATCACAGTTCACACATTATCGACTGTGTTCGCTTGACCTATCTGTACAACTTCGGCTACGTTCAGGTCTTTTCCGGGAGGAAGGTGCATGGTCGTGCCACCTGCATCTGGGTGTAGCTTTCACCATTGCGAACTCATTTAAGATTGGGATGGCCGACAGCGCGGAGTGCGACGACTGCGCCCTCGATGAGACCATTGAGCAAATTGTCTGTTACTGCTCGACATACGCAATCAAGAGGCATCAACTCCGCACTGTCGAGAGAGCACTGTGACAATCACCGTTCCGAAAGGCAACGAAAGCGCCGCTGCGTTTTCTCAAGAGCACTGGTCTTATTCGTCGTTTGTGATGCCAAACGTGAAGCTGTGACGCTGGCTTGAACAGTTAATTTTCTTTCCTTCCCCATAACTGTCCTTCCCTTTCACCCTTTTTTCTATGCGGGGTAGTCTAACGGAGCTCAGCCCTGGTTAAGCTACCTGTTTTTAAAGACGATAGTCTTTCTTGGGGACCTTCGATAGAAAAATTTTGGTCTGTCTGTCTGTCTGTCTGTTTGTCTGTCTGTATGTCTGTCCATCTTTCTGTCTGTCTCTACATTTGTCTGTTTTTCCACCCTTAACGATACCTCAAACGGCCTACCTCATCCGCGGCGCCCACCAATATTGTTCATGATCCAGTGTTCTTACTTGTGCGATTGTAAACTAAAAACAATTATTGTGCATATCTGAGGTACCATAACAACACTTCGATGTTTTGTATGTGTGCCTTTATACTAGAGAAGGGACACGCAAGTAGTTCTATGGACTGTAGCGTTTAACACCCTGCGCTGACAGTGCAACGCAGTGCTCAAAAAGGCAAGTAATACCAACGCTTTGCTAAAACGGCACGGTGGGGGCACCTGCCCGTCGCCTTGCGTTCTACACCTCATCACCTCCGGGAATGGTACACATCTTTCTCCGCAGGCGCGCATGCCTTCCTTCGTTTTCAAAGATAACTGCCAGATGGCGCTCGTGTCTAACGCGTCTCGATGCGCTCGTTCGTTTCCTCTGCACGCTCGAGGCACTTTAACGCAGCGCCTCCAGAATACCATTCACCGATTTTTCGCGCAAAAGATCAAATAAATGTTTTGTTCACTCTCTCCAGACGCAAGACAATCGTCTTTCGACGGCATTTGCAATGTAACTTGCAGATCTGGGGCCAATTTTTTTCTTAATCTATCTATCTATCTATCTATCTATCTATCTATCTATCTATCTATCTATCTATCTATCTATCTATCTGTCTGTCTGTCTGTCTGTCTGTCTGTCTGTCTGTCTGTCTGTCTGTCTGTCTGTCTGTCTGTCTGTCTGTCTGTCTGTCTGTCTGTTTATTCGCCTACGGCTTTTAGCTCTCCTGCCCATCTCGATGGTTGTATCAATACCAAACAAGGTACGGCATAACATGACTGTATGACAAGCATAACTAAATAGTCATAACATGAAAATCATGCCATGTATTTCATGAATGTTATGATTTACAATTCATGGTCTTGCTGCACTTGTGGTGGTTTCGTTCACATGACATTTTGAAAAACTGGTTTGCTATGACATGATTGCATAGTGAACATAAGACATGACATAAGTACATGAAGGTACATGACTGGTGCAAACATGATAATCATAAGGTGCGTGTCATGTATTGACATGACTACATGCCACGCTCATGATACACTCGCGGCCGTTTCGCTAGCTTCACATATACCGAATTTGGTAATACGTGACGTGAAAGAATGACGAAGGTAAATGACACGTCCAAACATGATAATAATGACATGCGTGTCATGTAAGCATGACTACATGCTACGCTCATAGCGTGCTCACAGCCATTTCACTAGCTCCACATATACCCAATTTGTTATCACGTGGCGTGAATAGGCGACAAAGGTAAGTGATATGCCTAAACACAATAATCATGATATGCTTGTCATGTGAAACATGACTACATGATACGCTCATAGCGTGCTCGCGGTCGTTTCGCCAGCTTCATATAACCAAACTTGGTGCCCTGTGACGTGAATAGACGACGAAGGTAAATGACACGTCCAGACATGATAATCATGATATGCATTTACTTGACTACATGCTACGTCCATAGCATGCTCACGGCCATTTCGCTAGCTCCCTATATACAAAATTTGCTGTCACCTGACGTGAGTGGACGACGAAGGTAAATGACACATACAAACGTAATAATCATGCCACGGAAGTCATGTACGCCATAAGTTACGTCCACCTCGTAACGCTGTGCTCATTTTAGAGTGACATATCAACCTTCCTCATTCGTGCTTCGCATATAATTGATTCCCATTGTACGTGGGATCTGCCCATTTTTCTTTTTCTACTTTTTTCTCCCTCCTTTGTCGGTGCTTTCACTGTCTGTCTTTTTCTTGCTTCATTTTTCTCATTCCTAATGTGCTACTTTTCTCTCTCTCCTCTTTTCACTCCAACTTGCCATCACATGCCTCTTTCTCGCACTCATTTCACCTTCCCACCCCCTTGCTACACTTTACTATACTCAGTTTCACAAGCTGTTGGCAGCGCAGTAGAAAACACGGGCGGCCTCAGCCAAGCATGATATAGCGCACTACATTATTGCATTCTTACTCGAATGTCGCTACTGTGAATCAAACAAGTAGCCCCGTATCTGTGAAAAAACGTGCACTATAGTATTCAACTTTTTAACTTTTCTTGTAGCAGGCACTTGGAACCTTATTGATCTGTTTTCTTTATTTTTTTGAAGCCCAGATGGTCTAACTTTGCCTATTTATATTTATTGTTATTTGTTTCTGTTATTTCTCCTCACATAAGAACTCTTTTTACACGTTTACGCGACGGATATATAAAAATATTTGCTTCAATATTCAAATAAATACGTGATGAATCATTCAGTCAAATAAGAAAGAAATAATTGACTCAATCAATCCGATGTTTTATTTCATGCCAGCAACGCTGCATAACAGAGCATAGCTTTCTTTCTATATTTTCTACTCTCACCGCATCACCTCATTGGGTGACCGTTCAGTGAGCGTGCAAAAATATGTATTATAAAAGAGTTGGAATTCGTATATCTCGCACTTGGATGAACATAACACGTAAAACTGCATGTGTTGTCTTTCTGTGAATCTATTTACTCAATTGCTGCTATAGCCCCCCCCCCCCAACACACACACACGTGACATAAGCTAAGTGTACAATGGTCATAGCGATGATGATGACTGTATAGCAACGATGAAGCTGATGGTAATGAAACCTCGTTGAAACTTAAACAGTGGTCAAGATGATCAATGCTCTGTAATTTGCTCGATGCTGTCAATATTCTTGCTTCTATCAAATAACCTTTCGCCATTTAAAACAACGCTACTAAGCCTGTAATCCTGCTTACGCGTTCTGGATAACTAAGATATAATACGCATCGACGCAATATTAATCATGCCATGGTCCACAAAGAACGTCCACAGTTTTAACAGAAGCGTTCTGGAAGGGCGCGCATTTGGATTTACGTTCCTCCGAAGTCAGACGAATAAAGAGGCTAACCTACTGTATTGCTCGTAAGCATTCTCCTCTCTGACGACCTGTCTTCTCGTTACTTGTGATATGCGCCTTGTGATATGATATACGTCACATGTGATCAAATTTTTGGGTCCGTGATACTTCGAAATACAAGATAAAGTTCCATAATAAATACAATTTTTTTTCGTGAGGAAGCAAGTAGGTGGGGGTGGAGGGAGCTTCCGCTACACTTTGGGCATGTTTGTGAGTTTGTATGTGCGTGCGTAGATGCATATGTACACCTGCAAAATTGAGAAATTCAGGAGACTTGCAGGAGAACTCAGTTCCCTCCACTCTCTTGGCAACACTTGTAAGTACACGGTGTTCTGGTAAGCATGCGGCCTTTCACAGCGAATGGGAAGATTCCTTTACACTACGTATTAAAACGGTCAGGCCAGCCCTGATATGGGACCGCTAATTCATGTGTGACCAACTGTGGGCGCGTGTATTTCGTGGCGAGAGCTTCAGACACGACCATTCCTGTACGGGCTACCAGATGGCGAGTTTGCCTGGTTCGTAAACTTTCGTAGTGAAATATTGCTATAGGTGCCCATTGATGTGGCGGATGATGATCCAGGGTCCTCTCGTAGGTGTCGACACCATCGCACGTGAACTTATCTGCATTTCACCCTGTAAGCATGCAAACAATGAACGTGGGTAAAATGGTCAGAACATTGTCACAGAATCTCGCTGAGCAAGAACAGATAGTAATATTTTAGCGTAATTCAATTACAATTACGATTGTCACCAATGATCGGCAATATCAAGCTACAATGGCCACCAATATTCACCGATCAGTCTCCGAGATGCAGGCGTCGCAGGCCATCACGTCATATTTGCGTATTGTCCAACTGATTGAAGTGACAAACAATTAAATCAAACAAGGCCTATAAAGGTGACATTGTTTGTGGTTTTTTTAATATTGCGCAGTTATGATTATTATTCAAAACGAAAGGAACCAGCGTGTATCAGAATGACCTTCAGCATTGGTGGAATATGAACCCGCAACCTTAGAAATACGCGTCCGATACTCAACCATTTGAGCGACGACAAAGGGTGCTCAGACGTGGTCAAATCATATGGGTCGCGAAAGTTGCAACGAAAAGTGTCGAAAACCGGTTGCCACAGGCATCAATGCCCGCTGAAGATTGAAGCGTGACTAGGTGCACGAGAAGGGGTAGAATAATCAAAACAAAAAACTCATTATAATAATTTATTCAAGTATTCATAATTTTTGTATACCCATAGTTAATTATAAATTCACTTTAGGGTGTATCTGACGCTTGGCTGAATTGTTGATTGCCTCATTTTTCGGTCGAGTGCCATAAATAGAGGGGGAGGCGTATCTACAAAATCTGCTATCAGGGCTTCTTCCTATCAGGGCTGTTCAGCGCATTGCCGGGTCAACAAGCCATCGCTCACTTTTGTGTGGTAGTTTCATGCATACCTACCGCACTTTACTCATTTCCTTACGTGCTGTTTACTCCATGACGTCACATTTCAGGGCTGAACTAGTTCACAGAATGTGCAGATAGCCGCTCTTGAGACTGCCGACTGCCTTCGTTGGCGCACGGCAGCGTGCCCTCGTCTTTGGTGAAGGTGAATGCGACACGCTACGCAACGAGACGCTGAATACTCTATGGTTGCCAAAGCGATATTATCAAGGCTGCTGTCTCACTGCAGTGGTTTACTACGGTTGGACAACGTGAGTTTTCGAACTATTATGGTAAATGTGCTCGTGAAGAGAGTTGTGCCAAATTTTTGGTGTAAATAGCAAGTACACTACTTGGCTAATAATGCAACCTTGCTCCTTGAATCTTTCTTGTTTGTCTTCTTTTTCGCCCGCACGGTATAAGTAGGGAGCCAAATGGCGCAATGAAATTGCGTATTTTTAACGGCACGTAAAAGGCGTATCTGAACTGTCATGTGATGTGAACTGACCTTGTGTGTGGAACATGTTTACATATGAACCTTTTAGTCGTATTTGCACTGCCATTTCTTACGACATATTTTGTCTGCTAAGTGAGAAGGAGTAGTCAGTGCCACCATAATGGCACAAACCTCATTCCATCATATCATTATTTCAATAAAAAGGTCAGCAATTAAATATCTATTTAGCGCCATGTATAGGACAAATATGTAATAGGTAATAGTGCACTTCAAGTTGTAAAAGACTATGTCTACTTAGGTCAGGTAATAACCGCGGAGCCGAACCACGAGGTTGAAGTAACTAGAAGAATAAAAATGGGGTGGAGCACTTTGGCAAGCACTCTCAAATTATGACAGGTAGATTGTCACTATCCCTCAAGAGGAAGGTATATAACAGCTGTATCTTGCCGGTACTTAGCTACGAAGCAGAAACCTGAAGACTTACAAAGAGAGTTCAGCTTGAATTGAGGACGACGCAGCGAGCAATGGAAAGAAAAATGGTAGGTGTAACCTTAAGAGACAAAAAGAAAGCAGAGTGGATTAGGGAACAAACGGGGGTTAAGGATATCATAGCTGATATAAAGGAGAAGAAATGGACATGGGTCGGGCATGTAGCGCGTAGACAGGATAACCGCTGGTCGTTAAGGGTAACTAACTGGATTCTCAGAGAAGGCAAGCGGGTTAGGGGGAGACAGAAGGTTAGGTGGGCAGATGAGATTAAGAAGTTTACGGGTATAAATTGGCAGCAGCAAGCACAGGACCGGGTTAACTGGCGGAACATGGGAGAGGCCTTTGTCCGGCAGTGGACGTAGTCAGGCTGATAATGATGATGATGACGATGATTATGAAAGAACAACTTTACGTGACCATAACACGTAAAATAATCCCTCGGAATTCACTTACATGTTAAACAACACTGCTATAACAACCGTTAACCAGTACAAATACCTTGGTCTGACAATCACTTCTAATTTGAGCTGGAAAACTCATATCGAAGGTATAACATCAGCAGCACTACGGCGATTGTGGTTCTTAAAGCATCGCATGAGGCACTGCACCAGCAAAACAAAACTAGTCGCTTACACTACATTGGTACGCCCATTGTTGGAATATGCTGACGTTGTATGGGATCCTCGCACGCAAACAGAAATATACTTACTAGAACGAGTCCAAAATAAATCCCTTTGGTTTATTTACCACGCGTACAGTAGACACTGTTCAGTCACTGAACTCCGTAATAGATCCGCTCTTCCCACATTGGAGTTTCGTAAAAAGCTACATCGCTTAAAATTCCTTTATAACATAGTCAACGGACACTCAGGACTCGCCTTTAACACTTACATGCAGTACAATACATCGCGAAAAACTCGGAACAAGCGTGATAACACCATAGTGGTGCCGCTTACAAAAACAAATTCTCGGCGATATTCATTCTTTCCACGAACAATTTCCGACTGGAATGAACTACCTCATGACGTCACCAGCATCGCAGCGCCCGACGCATTCTTATCAGCTGCCACTGCCTGTCTGTAGTAAAAGCTACCCGGTCGTATGTGCAGATTTCAATTCTTCTAATGATGTTTTTACACTTCGTGTTAGGAACAAAAATTTGGATTGTATTTTCGATACCGCTCTTGTGTTGCTCCTGTAACCCGAGTATTCATGTTCCACGCAAACCTGTTATGTGGTGATTTCATTTCTGTGCCGTGAAGTGTAGTGTTATATGTGGCTGCAAGTATGAAAGTTTGTATCACTCCTGCCTTGGCCACCAAGAGGTGGCTGGCAGTATGCAATAAATAAAAATAAAATAAAATAAACCAATGCACTACGTTGCTACCACTTCCAGTTATGAAGCCATATATAATTTATAGTTTTTTGTTTGTTGTTAGTTGTTCCCTCCATACATATATGGCGATGGTGGGAACAAGCTTCCAACTACTGAATACATAGATTTCTGTTGAACTTAAGCTACCAGCTTACATATGCCTTGGCTTGGACGCTTGCGAACACGAGCCAAAGTTGAGATTTATTTTCGCTTGTGAATATGCTAAGATAATTATGCCCCAACACTGGAATGAACCCGACAGGAAAAGACTGAATGGGGAATAAATATTGAGCAGCATTAAATAGCATAACTACTGTCGTGTAAACGTTAAAGATTTACATGAACCAGCTAATAACGGGAAATATAGATCTGCTGTGCCTTTAGCTCTACTTACAGCAGCGCCATACGAAACTAGCCCGGCCTTTATTCCTTTCATAGTCGTTCTGCTGATGATATGACGTCAAACGTGACGTTCCTGTTCAGGACACGTTAGTTTATTGTATCCAAGTGTGACCAGTCGCTGTCGCTCTCATTATGGTAGCGAAACAGGCTGACCTACTAGGCCTAACCAGCTCGGCAACAACAATGACGACGACGACGACGACGACGATGATGATGATGATGATGATGATGATGATGATGATGATGATGATGATCTTGATGGAGCAAAGCATTTCACCTATTACCTTTTGCGAAGGGCCGAGCTCAAGGTGGTACTTGAGCAGCAGCTTCGCCATCGCCAGCTTCAGCGTCAGCATGGCCATGCTTTTGCCGACGCAGTTTCGCTGCCCAACACCGAAAGGCATATACGCCGCCTTTACCAGCTGAGCTTCGTTTTCGGGGGCGAACCTGGAAGAGCAGGCGCCGAAACACTGAACTCTCATTCACGCATGTGACTAGCTCCAATCGTGCGACCATTTGTGAATGGCGACCAAGAGCGACTCTGGGCGGCCGACGTTCACCCATGTGTAAGGCTTACACCCATCGCCTCACTGAATTCGTGTCTGCTCGCAATGTTATTGCCCGGCATAATCAGGCGGACGTTCTGTTCTGGTGTGTCTAATTGTCTAGAAGAGCATGTTACGTAGCTAGTTGGTTCACGTTCAAACAAAAACCACAAGAAAGCTACTGTTCTTGCGCGAAGAAATAACTAGAGAAGTGATGAAGGAGAGCGCCAGCTTTCGGCTATTTATGCAACAAATACCACAATCAAGCTTACAGTAACAGACGTGCCCAGCTAGCTAGACACAGATTGATTAGGATGGCACGCGCTCGATACCATGTGGTTTTTCAGACACAGAGACGTCTATGGTAGTCTTTCGCTATACTAAGGCGTTCATTTCAGCTTAGTACGAATAATGAGACATGCGATGAATGCTTTCGACATTATTCATAGCGAAGGACTTGAGCTGAGCTGGCACTTATTATCAAACCAGGTAACACAATATCGGAGTTTTATCAACTGAAATTCTAAATGATTTTTTACCTTACAGCTGCTGCTCAAGTCGGCTAAGGAAGCTCGAGGCTCATGCAAATCGTCAAGAAAAACACTACGCCACCTGTCAGGGTTGAATTGCAGAGGGTCGGGCCAGAAACGCGGGTCCCTCTGGATCTGGTATAGCGGCACCATGAAGCACGTCCCGGCCTTGAACAGCGTGCCTTTGTGGGCGAAGTCCTCGTTGGCTTGCCTCGTCACGAAGCTGCACGTGGCACATACAACGCTATTTTAAGGGTATAGACTTCGCCAGCACTCTGATGCGCATAAAGTGTGCAATGCACTCCAGAAGCACAGAAGTAAGCTCTCGGTAACCTGGTACCTTTTACATCAATGAAGGCAGAAATAGACGCAAAAAAATAAATCAGGCAATCATTCCGTACAGATGGTTAAGCAGCTAAGATGAAACATGCGACCCCATCACCATAGAGTTTATCCCGATTATTGCTTGAAGGCTTTCTCAAATATTAAGGCGAAAGTCTTAAGTACCTTAGCAAACGCGAAATTGACCATCTACATCCCTTTTTTCCGGTATTAACACGAGTGATTAAACAAATGAGCACAACGAGATGGCGTCACTGTAGAGTCACATCACAGAACGTCACATATGACTTCTTCACCAGAAATCTATAGCTTGCGTAAACGTGGGTCGTACACAGAGGCAGTGCAAAACCAGTTAAAAGATGACCTCCACCTTCAAGTCATCTCGCACGAATGCATAAGGGCCAGTTTGAAATGCACACCTCTTAAGGGGCTTACCTAGTGGTCGTCTTGTTTCGCGTTATGGTCACGCATGAGCCACGCTTGATTAAATAGGCCGCGCAGGCTGCAAGTTTGCAATGCCAGTGCTTGCTTGCCCGTAAATGCCATCGTCGCCTAAGGGCTGTTTGACAGCAGCTCAAATTTCTATGAGTGGCTGAGGCTAACTTGTTAGTCCGAGCAAGCGAGAGACAGACAGCGAATAGACTATTTTCTTATTCGCAAGCAAGCTTCCCTTAATTACACATTGACACTGCTAATGGCGACACTTGTCGTGTTTAGGTAGAGTTGAGGTTCTAGCTTCACGTGCTGGGGCCTGTCAATTATGGATGTTTATATCAAGAGAGCTAAATCTACATACCCCCATAGCAACGCACAAGTTAACGCATGAATACGCTCTTTGGAATGAGTAGCTAACCTCCATAAGTAGGCCAAGCTGCATAGCAGGAAAGCAAGCTCACAATCAATAAAAAGATCTATTTATAGGAAAGCCGGACGTTTCGATAAGCTTGTGCATCTGGTCTGCAACCCAGCAACGAGGAAAAGGGAAGCGCCAGCGTCTTCAGTTCCAACATAAATCTACCGAAGAGAGAAGCAGGGGGGAAGCGCTAGTACCGATAGTAGAACGCACTGTGCTCGCCGCAGCAAACAGCAGGAATATAGAAAAGAAACGATAGAACAGAAAATGTACCATCGCAAAACTATTAAGATAATCACAAGAAAAAAGATAGAAAAGGACATAACGTATAACATAATCAAAGGGGTAGAGCCCAAAACAGCAGATAAACACAAGGGCAGCATAAGCGAATCAACGTTCCGGTGTCCGTGCAGGTGAAACTGGCTTTGACCGTTTATTGCGATGGCAGTTACAGGGGCACTCTCGACTGCTTTTTACCACACACACACACATACACACACACACACACCTATATATATATATATATATATATATATATATATATATATATATATATATATATATATATATATATATATATATATTGTCACGTTTCTTAAGACAAACTTGGTTTATTGGGTTCGTTGAGTCGACTAGCCAAGCAGCAGCTCAGACAGATCGTCTTTGTCTTCTTCCACTCCTGGATCTCACCCAAGCATATCAGGTGGCATTAGTCCCCCCTTTGAAAGCATCGACTCGATGCTCGTAACGAAAAAAAAATGAAGGCATACACACGCAGATACAGAGAACCAAAAGAGGGAGAGTGCCAGTACTCGCAGCGCAAACGAGGAAATTTCGCCAATGCTTGCGCCAAGCGCAAAAAGAAAAGGCATAAAAACACAGGAGAACACGAACAGCAGCAGCACAGCAGCACAATGTCACGGCATGTCGCAACACGTGAACCACAAGGGCTACTGTGTGAAGTAGGGCTTCAGCCTAACGACATGCACGGTTTCGGGCCGAAGCTGTCGACGAGAAGACGCTGCGCCGTCCGGAAATACCTCGTAGGTAAGATCGGTGACACGTCTAAGAACCTTGTACGGTCCAAAATAACGGCTTAGGAGTTTTTCGGATAAACCTGGTCGCCGGACAGGGGTCCACACCCACACTCGGTCCCCAGGGTGGTAGGTGACGTTTCGATGGCGGAGGTTGTAACGTCGTGCGTCTTCATCTTGTTGGTGACTGGTGTTTATGCGAGCTAACTGACGAGCTTCTTCGGCGTATTGAGTGTATTGCTCAGCGTCTCGAGCGATTTCATTGCTTTGGTCACACGGAAGCATAGCATCGAGCATGGTTCGCACGTTGCGTCCGTAAACAAGTCGGAAAGGCGGAAATCGCGTTGTTTCTTGCGTTGCGGTATTGTATGCAAACGTTATGTATGGAACAATTTCGTCCCAGGTTTTGTGTTGTACGTCAACGTACATTGACAGCATGTCCGCAATGGTCTTGTTAAGCCACTCTGTCAGTCCATTCGATTGCGGGTGATAAGTCGTCGTTTTTCGATGACTTGTGCAGCTCAATTTAAAAATGTCCTCCATCATTCGTGCTGTAAATGACGTCCCTCTGTCCGTAATCACGCATGACGGGGCACCATGCCGTAGGACGATTTGGTGCACGAAGAACTGCGCGATTTCAGAGGATGTGCCACGGTGTGACGCTTTTGTTTCAGCATACCGAGTAAGATAATCTGTCGCAACTATAATCCATTTGTTCCCAGAGGACGACAAAGGGAAGGGTCCAAGAAGGTCCATTCCCACGAGGTCAAACGGTGTCTGTGGTGGTGCGATCGGCTGGAGCAGGCCCGCGGGTCTCACAGGCGGAGTCTTGCGACGCTGGCACTCACGGCAGCCTTTCACGTATCGATGTACAGTAGTTGATAGCCGTGGCTAGTAATACTGTTGGCGTACTCTGGCGAGAGTTCGCGAATAGCCCAAATGTCCTGACGTGGGCTCGTCGTGGCACGCAAGGAGGATCTCGTCCCGCATTTCGGTAGGAACAACAAGTAGGAAGGCTTTGTCGCTACCACGGGCGTTTTTCTTGTAAAGAATGCCTCTTCTTAGACAAAAAGAGGACAGTTCGCGAGCAATGTGTCGAGGGACCTGAGAGTTCCGGCCTTCCAGGGAATCAATAGCTGGGCGTAATTCGTCGTCTGCCCGCTGTTTTGACATAAATTCGGAATCGCTGACTGCTCCGAGAAAGGCATCTTCATCCTCGGAGCCCCTGACAGCGTGCCCAACAGGCGCTCGAGAAAGCGCGTCGGCATCTTCATGTTTGCGCCCTGACCTGTACACAATCGTAATATCGAACTCCTGCAAACGCAAACTCCACCGAGCGAGACGGCCGCATAGATCTCTGAGATTTGCCAGCCAGCAGAGCGAGTGGTGGCCAGTCACCACTTTGAAGGGACGACCGTAGAGGTAAGGCCGAAACTTGGTCGTCGCCCACACGACTGCGAGGCATTCTTTTTCCGATGTAGAATAGTTGGTCTCGGCTCGAGAAAGAGTACGACTGGCGTAAGCTATGACATGTTCAATGCCATCGTGTCGTTGTACAAGGACAGTGCCAAGTCCGACATTGCTGGCATCTGCATGAATTTCTGTAGCAGCGTCCTCATCAAAATGGGCAAGAACAGGGGCTGTTTGCATTCTCTACCGTAGCTCTGTGAACGCTGCATCTTGTTCTGCGCTCCAAGTAAAAGGCACGTCATCTCGGGTGAGTCGCGTAAGAGGTTCAGCTATCTTCGAGAAGTTGGCGATAAATCGGCGATAATACGCGCACACGCCGAGGAAACGGCGTACTGCTCTTTTATCTGATGGAACAGGGAAGGTGGCGACAGCAGCAGTTTTGTCTGGATCAGGTCGCGCTCCATCCGCACTAGTGACATGTCCCAGAAATTTCAGCTCTTCGTAGCCGAAATGGCATTTTTGGGGTTTCAGCGTGAGTTTAGCTGTGCGAATGGCGTCCAGAACCTTTCTCAGACGCTTCAGGTGTTCTTCGAAGCTCTCGGAAAAGATGACCACATCATCGAGGTAGACAAGGCAGCTTTGACACTTCAAGCCAGCAAGAACTGTGTCCATCATCCTCTGAAAAGTGGCTGGGGCAGAACAGAGGCCGAAGGGAAGAACACGGAATTCGTAAAGTCCTTTTGGAGTCAGAAATGCAGTTTTTTCTCGGTCTCGTTCATCCACTTCAATTTGCCAATAGCCACCCTTTAGATCGATGGACGAAAAATACTTTGCGCGTCGTAATCTGTCGAGAGAGTCGTCGACCCGTGGAAGCGGGTTGGTTGGTTGCGAAACTTTATTGAGGTCCTGCAAGGCGCGCGTCAGCGCGCAGCGGGCGACTCCCACGTCGGGACCGTTAGGCCAAGCCTATTGGCCGCTCCGCGGGCCTGCTGGACGGCCCAAAGTTGGTCGGCCAGGAGGGAGCTGCGTAGGGCCGCCTCCCACCTGACCGATGTAGTGTTGGGGTTAGTGTACATTGCCTTGCACTCCCAGAGCATGTGCGCCAGCGTGGATACATCCCCACATGCAGGGCAAGCGTCATTGGGAAACACGTCAGGATAAATAGCATGAAGGGATCTCAGGTTAGGGTACGCGTCGGTCTGCAGTAGTCTGAGCGAAAGGGCCTGTGGCCTATTAAGATTTGAATGAGGGAGTGGATATAGTCTCCGTGCGAGGTAAAAATATTTTGTTATTTTGTTGTACGTGGCAGGCGCGTCTCTGTTTTCCGCAACCCCGTTGGCCCCGAATCGTTGCCCGAAACCCGCGCGGTCGGTTAGTGCGCGCGTGGCCTCGTGGGCAGACTCGTTGAGGTTGGGAGGAGCGCCTTGGACCTGTCCAACATGTGCAGGAAACCAAATCAGTACGTGGTGCTTGATGCCGTCGCGGCCACCACTTTGGAGCACGCGCAGGGCTTTCTTGAAGATTATCCCGCGCTCGAAAGCGCGAATAGCTGACCTAGAGTCACTATAGATGACCTCTCTTTCA